TATATATATATATATGAATGACAGCGGAATGCATTACAATTCATATCACACATATAGAGCACATTTTTTCATATCTCTGCTTGTATTAAAGTATATTCACACCAATTTGTGTCTTCATACATGTGCTTTGGATAATGATGTTCACCACATTCCACCATCATTTCTAACCCCTACCCCCTCGTTTCCCCTCCCACCCCTCTGCCCTGTTCCTCTATTCCTCCCGTGCTCCCCCTCCCTACCCGACTATGACTCAGTCTCATAGGGAAGGAATTTCATTGCAGATGCCTCTAATATTCCTTCCCCATGCCCATGGCAGATATCAATAATTGATTGCAGGGCTGGGGCTGTGGATCAGCGGTAGAGCGCTGAAAGGGTAAAGTTTCTAAGCTGCAAAGCCTGAGTTAAAATGTAAAGGGCCAGGCATTGTAAACCTGCTTCAAACTGCAAAGCATGGGTTAAATTCCCGAGGCAGTTAAGACAATGCCCTACTGGCCATTTCGTTGATTTATGGCCTAAGATCCTGTGCAGTCCAGCATGTACACACCTCAGGGCCTAAACCAATCAGTTTAAATGTAACCCCCACCTTAAGAATGACCTATCACTCCAGCCAGCCCTGTTCCCGCCAATGTATGTACTAATCAAGTCTAAGAATTGTTGTTTAACTTTCCCGCGGTGTATGGTGATTTGTTAAAGGAGACTGTGATGTATGTAAAGTCCCTGCCCTCCCCCAAAAAAGTGTACTTAAGCATTGTTCAACCCCGGCTCTGGGCTCTGGGCTGTTTTCCCTTCCTGAGTGAGCCTAGAGCCTCAGCGCGCTGAATTGGATCCTCAATAAAAATCCCTGTCTGCTTATTGCATGAAGCCAGTCTCTTGTGGTCTCTTCCTCCGACGCTTCGCCGGTCCCTTACAGCGCTTGCCTAGCATGTGTGAGGCCCTGGGTTGGCTCCTTAGCACCACATATAAATAAATAAAATGAACGTATTATGTCCAACTACAACTAAAAAATAAATTTAAAAAAAAATAGATTGCAGAATCCGGATGAATCCCTCTAGGCCCAGAAGCAAATGGATATTTTTGTTCTTCTCTTTCTCCTTCCTCTCCTTCTTTCTTCCCGGCCTTCTAAACAGAGTACCCTGAGCAACTGCTGCCACTACCCCCCACTGTACCTGGGCATCAGGGATAGATTTTTGCTGTTCAGTCCCTTTTCTATGGATTTGATTTCAGATAACAGTGGTTTTGCATGGACACACAAGAAGCCTGCAGATTGAAGGGTAGATCTGTTTCTCTTTAGCTCAAGAGCAAGCAGAGGGCAAGTCTTCACCAACCACACAAGGAATACCTTAGTAAGCGCTCTTCTCCTGTTCCTGGTTCCACACGGCCCTCCCTTAAGTCCTTCCCTCCCTCCTTCCTGCCTCTGTTCCTGGACACACCAAACTCACCCGGCCTCTGGACCTTTGCATGTGCTGGACTGCTCTGCCCTGGTTTTCTGCAGCCCCCGCCCTGCTGCCACCGGTCCTGGTTTCAACCTCTCTGTGATGGGGAAGGAGGTGGGTGGGCCATGTCCCTCTTAAGAGAGGACCTCTGCCCAGCCCGGGGAGTGCAGTCTTGATGTCAGTTCAAATCAGGTGTCCTCAGCTTCTAAGTGACCCCCCGCATCCAGGGACATGCCGTTCCCTGGGCAGTCCATAGCCTGGCTGAGGCCAGGGGTGAAGACGTGGCAGAGCTGTGTCCAGAGCTCCCGTGGCTCCCCCGAGCTGAGGACCTGCAGGAAGCTCAGCTGTCCACCCCGAGCACCTCCCCTTCCCTTCCCAGTACTGATCCCCAGGAGACCCCTAAGGGAGCTTCAGCTGACCCACCCTCAGTCAGAGAGAGAGAGCCCCGGAAACCATCTAGAAACACCTCGTCTCCAAGACGTGACCTTCTGGCCATGCTGAGCCACTCTTTCCCTTCCCCAAACTCTCCTTATATCTGATCCCCCCATCTTCCTGGAAGGGTTCATCCGGGCACGAGCTTCTCTTAAGTGATTTAATTTTTTCTTTTCCTCACAAACTGGAATGTCACTCCCCAAGAAAGCAAAGCTCTTGTCCTCGGGTCTTTCCAGGACCTAAGAATAATGCAGGCTAACTGCGTGAATCTGAGCTGTCCAGTGACTAGCCACTAGCCACGGGGGCTACTTAGATTAAAATTAATAAGGTCAATTATTTATTAATGAAATTGCATTTACTTAATAAAATAAATCTGAAATGAAACTCAGTTCTTCAGCCTCATGCCCCACACTTAATCCTCAGTGTCCACACATGGCTAGTGGCCACCATGACGGACGGGGCAGTTCTGGAGCATGGCCATCATGGCAGAAGCCCCTGTTGCACTGCACACCTCTAGGGTATAAGCCCCTGGGGTCAAAGCCCTGTCATTGTTCCGATCCTATCACCAGGGACAATGTGGCCACAGAGGGACTCAGCAAACCTTTCTAGAACAGGCGAGAAGTGAGTGGATGTATCAATGGAAGTCGGAGGAGCTGAGGAAGGAGGTGAGCAGGGTCCTGTCACTCCAGATCCTTACAGCGGTCTCCAGGGCCACCCTTGCATGACTTAACCCTGACACTCCGACCCCTTCCTGCCCACCCCTGCGGTCACCCTCGTCTCCCTGCTGTTCCTCGACACTCCAGTGTGTTCCCACCTCGGGCCTTTGCCTGTGCCACACGCTGTGTCTTCAACACTCTTCCCTCAGACATGTCCCTTATGCTCAGCGAATGCCCCAAGGTCCCCAAGAAAATGGTGTCCCCCCCCACACAGCTCCTCTGTGTGGCCATTTCCTCCCATCATGAGTCGAGCTCCGGGGGGTGGCAATGTGTCTGGTTTATCCACGGCTCTAGCCACCAGCCTGGACGGGCAGCCTGCACACAGCAAGCACTGACGACACTGCTGTCCACGTGAAGGACAGGGCAAGGAAAGGAGGAGGGTGGGCAGGGGAAGGACGGTGAGAGGTGAAGGCTTCACAGTCACATGGCCCAGGAGGGTGAGCAGGGCCCAGGTAAGGGGCAGGGAGCAGCACCCAGCTCTGCTTTCTCCTTAATGGGGCCAGTGGAGGCCTGTGAACAGCCCATTCTATGCATCTGCTCAACAGACCACAAAGAGAGAAAATCCTGGAGGTGACATTTTATTTTGAGGACCTCTGTGCTGCTGAGGCGTGCTGTGCCCGGGGGAGGTGAAGGAACCACATTCTCAGTGTCACAGACAGATGGATGTTGGGTTTGCAGGACGGAGCACAACTCCCACCCACCAGGGAGATTCTCCGGAAGCAACCTGGGCCAAACGGCGTGGAGGCAGGGGGCTTCCAGGGATGGCTTTGCAGTCACCTGCTGAGCTGGGGATTTCGGGGATCCTCTCTCTCTCTCTCTCGATATTTGGTGGGGGATTAATTCCCCAGGGATCAGCTTGCCTAAACCCGATAATCCCGATTTGTGATTTAATTCAGTTCCCCTGAGTATCTTACACCAGGAGAGGGACGTGGGTGATCAGAGGGGAAAACACAGGCTGGGCTTCCAGGAAATCAGGAATTCACCCCCAATGGCTCCTCACGGGTGGCGCCCACGCCCAGCCTCATCTAGGAGCAGTTTCTAGCCCCGTGATGGGGTTGGCGCGTCTCCCTCTCACAGAACCAGGGTGTCTGGGATTGAAATCGGAAGGGTGGGAGGGAGGGGGGGGGAGGGTGGACGGGGTGGGACTTTGTGACAATCTATCAGGAGAGAAGACTATTAGCTGGGGAAGAGATTTTGGCAGGTCGCAGGGGTTTAGGACTATGTGTAAGAAAAAGATGTCATTAACCTCTGGAATTTCTGGAATGGCAAATGGATCTTAGTCCCACTCCCATTTCCACACCTCCTGAATCTCATTCCTTAGGCACCCCACTCCATCCCCATCTGGCAAAGCTGCTGCCTTCAGTCTAACCTCAATCCATGCAGCTGCAAAGCCATTGACTACCCTCCTTCCCCCCACTCCATCCTTCAAGGGATCATGGGGATTGGGTCCTCAGCAAGCAAGGGATCCATGTTGACCAGGTGGGGAGCATCTGGGCCCCCAGGACATCCTCAGCGAGACATCATCTTCACAAACTCTGCAAAAAAAAGCCCCGGTGAGGTGCCTCATTATAAAAACCACGGTAGTTTTTTGAGTACTTCCTATGTTGACCTTGGAGAAATTACCTAACCCTCTACCCTCCGTATTTTCATCTCTAAGACGGGAGTCGGGAGTCGTAGGCTCACTCTTTCCCCTGTGTTTTTAAGATGTTTAAATGACACAAGGCTTGTGGGACACAGTGTTCCATGAAAGGCCATTGTTAGGGTCTGATGTCACCCTCTCCACCGTCTCAGTGGGATTCCTCTTCACAGGTCAGGAGTCTGGGCCGTCAAGGTAGCCCCTGAGCCTGAGTCAGCTGGACAGTGACTGGTGAACCCTGGACAGGACACCCTTTGTACCCGACCTTGCTGTGACTCTACACCAGAACTTGCCAGCCCCGCCCTGCTTTGAGGTCCCCTGTCCTCTGGCCTGGGGTTGGTCTGCAGATCTGCTTCCCACCCTCACCCTCCACCTGTCCAGGAAGGCCACACGGGGAGCGGGAAACAGATCCCTGCCGAGCCCACCCCTGTACGTCACCTTCAAAGTCAACGGTGCCATCTCCATTGACATCAGCCTCGTGGACAACCTCGGAGATCTCCCGGGGGGTGAGCCTCTCTCCCAGAAGCCTCTGCATGGCCTGCTGCAGCTCCGCCAGTGTGATCTCCCCGTCTCCATTGGTGTCGAACTGATGAACAGAAGCAGAGGGGGCTGGCTGAGCAGCACCGACCTTGAGAGCAACGGTGACAGGGTGACAGTGTCCATGGTTCACTACAGCCAGGCCAAGGGCTTCAGGCACATCTTACTGGAGAATATCAGCACCTCGAGGTCAAGGGTTCCTCCCAGGTTTGCACACATCTCTCCCTCTGTGTAGACAGCATTATTGGGATATAATTGATGTGCAGATAGCTAAGCAGGCTTAACCCGTGCCCTCTGATGAGTTGGACAGAGGCATGCCCTCATGAAACCACATCAATCAGCACAGTATGTGTCACCTTGCCTCCAAGACATTCCCTGTCCTCCTAGGTTTCTGTTTGTTGGATGCGGAACATGAGATCTGCTCTTTTAAGTTTTTGATGCCCAATACAGACCGTTAGTCTGTAGGTGAGTGGAACTCAGTCATCTCCATAACTGAAACTTTGAGACCCATGAAAGGACAGCCCACCTGCCCCTCTGCCCAGGTCCTGGCAGCCAGCTTGCTTCAGTCTGTGCCTATGAGTTTTTTTGGAGGCCTTCTGTACATGGACTCCTGTGCACCTCTCCTGTGTGCTGCAGACCTACGGTGGAATGTGGTTCTGCCTTAAGAAGGAAATCCTGAAATGCAGTATCGTGGATGAACCCAGAGGACGTCATGCTGGTGAAAGAGTCCAGGCACACAAGGACAAGCATTTGCACAGGCCAGGCCCTTGATACATGTTTCCCAATTAATCAGAGACCTCCAGAACTTCTCCCTGCTCCTTAACCACCTCCCAGAAAGCCTGCTATGCCCTCTCCTCAGCGCACACAGAGGGGCCAGGGATGGTCCTCAGCTCCGCTGACCTGGCTCCAACCACGGCCCCTCTGGCCTGCACTCCCCAGGCAGCCTGCAGGGGTCCCTGGCTGCCGTCTTGCTCCTGCCAGGGTCTCCCCTCTGCATGTCAGGCTCCGTGTTCACAGCCACATAGGGGACAAGTCAGATCCTGTCACTCCCCCTGGTGGCTTCCTGTCCAGTCCATGACAGGTGGATGGGCCCTGCCCTCCACAACTCTGAGGTCTCCACCACATCTGTCCCCTGCTATGTTCTTTCCAGCTCCCTGTCACCCTTTGTCACCCTTCCTCAGACACAGCGTCCTGCCTCCTGGTGTGTGCAGTGTCCTCTCCTGGGATGGGACTTTCCTGAAGCAGTTCTGTCCAGGGGGAAATGCATCGGGAGCCTCTCAGGGGATTCTAAGTTTCCTAGTAGCTACATTAAAGAAAAAGTGAGGGGCTGGGGGGCAGCTCATGGTGGAGGCCTAGCAAGCGGGAGGCCCTGGCCCATGTCAAGTGTCATCCCCTTCCCTATCCATCCCACTAGGGCTGGGCCAAAACAAGGAGGGCAGGGGGTGGCCCTCTGGTAGGCTCTGTCCATGGTGCTGACGTGACCACCCCCAGCACCATGGACCCCTTCACTGACCTCCTTGAAGGCGTCTCGCATCTCCTGGACACCAATCATCCCAGCCGTTTCTGCAAGCAACTTGGGGGTCATCAGCTCCACAAAGTCGTCAAAGTCCACACGGCCCCCCACTGAGGCAGAAAGGGAGAGGTTAGTGGGACTCCACACCCTGACCTTCCAATCCCTCGCTTCTCTCTTCCAGTCAGTTCCAGAAAGAGAGCGGCTCCCAGGTCCCCGCCATGCACGGGTTTCCTGTTCTGCACTTTTATTAGTGCATGGCAGCCTCACACACTAGCGGGTTAGTTTCGACATGCTCATGCCTGGACTGTAGTTTGCTCCTTTTCGGTCCCCAGTGCTTCCTCTCTACCTCCCCTCCTCCCTCCTCTGGGTCCCTTCCTCTCCTGGATCCTTCTGCTTATTGACTTTTAGGTGGGTGCTCTATGGGTGCACATAAAGGTGGAGCTCAGAGTGGGATGTGCACATACGCATCATCTGGTCATTTCATTCCTCGGTTCTTCCCTGTTCCTGTCCCTCTTCCCTCCCTCAACCCCTACCCGACTGATGTCCCCTCTGTTTCATGGGATCCCCTCCCCACACATTCCCCTGTGAGAGAACACGTTCTCCCCTGGCCTTCCGAGTCTGGCTTATGTCACTGAGCGCGGTGTTCCCCAGTTCATCCATTTACCGGCAGATGCTTGAGTCTCATTCTTCTTTGTGGCTGGGTGAACCCCCCTTATCTTTCACTCACTCAGCTCAAGCCCTGTGTCCCTCTAACCTGAACCTGGTGGACAAGGCACGTATGGGGACGTGACTGACTGACTGCACAACCTTGAGCATGGTCAGGACCCCTGTTCCTCGTCTGTGGATCTGTAAAGAGGGAGTGTGAGTTACATTTGCACCTGAGGCTTTTCCAGATACGAATACAGTCATGCCTTGGCATCCACTGGGGGAGTGGTTCCAGGAACCCGCATGGATACCAAAATCTGCAAACGGTCAAGTCCCATCTCCAAAACGTCAAGGTATTTGCATGTAACCTACGCAAACCTCTCATATGCTGTACCTCATCTCTAAGCTCCGAGCTGTTCACTGAGAGCCCCCGATCCTCAGGGTTGGTGGAGAGTCCTCAGAACCCCAGGAGAAGGACCAACAGCTTTGGCTCCTGTCTCACTCCCCGGTTTCTGAGACGTGGGCGGGGCATGTCTCAGAGGCCCCGACACAGTAGAAATGCTCTCTGAGTTTATACTGTGTTGTTCAGGGCACAATGACAAGAAAAAAAAATAGCCTGAACATGTTTAGTACATACACAATTATTTCCCAAATGTTTTCCATCTGCACTTGCTTGAATCTGCAGATACACAGAGGGCTGAGCACACCATTATCACCTTGAATTCCACCTTAACTCAGTTACATGCCCAGAAGCAAACCAGTAACAATTTTACTTCAGTTTCAGTCTCAAAGTCACCTCTGGTCTCCATTTAAAAATCGATCCTTTTCAACTCAGGAAGCTGAGACAGGAGGATGGTGAGCTCAAAGCCAGCCTCAAAGCGAGGCACTAAGTAGCTCAGTGAGACCCTGTCTCTCAATAAAATACAAAATAGGGCTGGGATGTGCTCAGTGGTCGAGGATCCCCGAGATCAATCCCCGGGAGCACCCCCCAAAATCATTCTTTTTCCAACTTTGTTCACCACCATTAGGTGCAAGTGCAAGCTCATTGCTGACATCCAGCATGGCTCCAACCTCACACTCCTCGGATAGACCTTTAGTGGTGACAGTGATAAACCACACTTAATCAGAATTTGTGGGGACTACAACTTGGCCTGCCTGTCCCTCCACCCTCCTTCCCATGGCACCATGAGGTAAGGAGTGTCCTGCCTTCACTCAGAGACCAGGGACCTGAGACCCAAGATAACTTCACTTTTCAGAGTGACTTTCATTGACAAATAAGAGAACTGGGACTTGCACCCAGACCTGTCTCCCCAAGGCCCCTCCAACTACTTCAAAAGCCGCCTCCCTGGGGCAGTCTGCTCTTTTCTACACCCCAATCCTCGTAGCCCCCTGTATCC